TCTGCCCTTCTAAGTCTTTATAAAAATACAATCATTGAAGTTAAAATGACCATTTAATCATTCTCTTTTCACTTCAGTGAAATATTATTGAGTACCACTGTTTTCCAGGCACATCGTAAGTGAACTCAGTGAGTTTAAAAAAAAAAAGAAAAAGAAAAAAATAAAGTCCTATGTCATTATAGAGATGGTTATAAACATTAAGCAAGTAAATAAATAAACTTATTTATTTATTAATAAAATTAATTTCAGAATGCAAACAATGAGTGTCAGGCTGCAACAAATATGCTATGAAAGAAATAAGACAGAATGATGCAACAGACTGGGAAGAGGGGAGATATATTGGATTTGGAGGTCAGGAAAATTGTGTCTGAGGAGGGGATATTGTGCAAAAGTCTAGATACAGAAAAATCGAGACAGAGGGGACAGCAAGTGCAATGGCTTTTAAGTAGGAACAAACTTAGTATGGATGAAGATAAAGACATCCACTGGGAAGAATAAAGGTGGTAAGACATCTCGTTCAAGAGAAGAGAAAGATTGGGGCACCTGGGTGGCTCAGTCTGTTAAGTGTCTGACTTCAGCTCAGGTCATATCTCATGGTTCGTGGGTTCGAGTCTTGCGTTGGTCTCTGTGCTGATGGAGACTGTGCTTCGGTTTCTGTGTCTCCCTCTCTCTCTCTCAAAAATAAATAAACATTAAAAAAAACTAAATCAACGTATCAGAATTTCTGGTTGTCTTACTGCAGAAACGTCTGAGCTAATATCCCCATTTTCCACGACCCTCTTCTCCACTAGATTGAAGGCTTATTTTGCCACCCTGTACGGTACCACTTCTGGCAGGGCAGGGAAGTTAGGGAGCAATGTGAGAGTCATGCAAGTTGCTTTTTAGTTAATTCATTTATTGAGGGAGAGAGAGGGTTCATGAAGAAGGAGCAGAGAGAGAGGAAGAGAGAATCCATGCTGACAGCACAGAGCCTGACAGGGGGCTCAATCTCACAACCCTGAAATCATGACCTGAACTGAAATCAAGAGTCAGAGGCTTAACTTTTAACTGACTGAACCATCCAGGTGCCCCCAAGTCATGCCAGATATAATGGTTAAAAATGACACTTGATTTTAACTATGTTAAAAAATTTTAATTGTGTTTCCTTATTTGGGGGAAAGTAGGAGTCCCAGGGAAGCCACTTCTCCTTATGGAGCTCTAAACAGTGTAGAACAGCTATTTCCTTTCGGAATTTCTTTGCAGTGGCATTTAGCAGATCTCTACCATAACTGGGCACAGCCCTCCCTCCCATTTTCCCTTCCTTCTGGACCAGAGAATTATTTTTTAATTACAGACTTAAATTTGAGACTCACCGTCATTCTTCACCTACAGAAGAGTTCATGTTTTTAATTTTAAAATGTTAAAGGAGCAACCAGAGGAAAATGTCCCTTTAGGAAACCAGAAGATAAAAGCTCAAATAGAAATTCTAACACTTTTAAATATAATATAAACTCAGCTAATTATGGTTTCCAAATTTTGTAAAACGCTGAGGAGAAGTTGCTGCTTTTTTGAAAAACATTTCAGGACACTGAAAAATCTCCAGCAAAGTTAACTGATGTTACTCAATAAATATTAACTAACTTTAAAGCAAATGTTTTATAGACAGCCTGTTAAAAACGTGGTAGTATAGAGAAGAGGAAGCACACACGGGCTTTTGAGGTAACCAGAAAGGGACTCCAATCCTGGTGCCTCTCCTTGAATAGTCTTCTAACCAGCCCACCGCCCCCTGGCACGAGGGCCCCGGGAAGCATTTCTCCCAATAGCACTCAATCTGCTAGCACTCTCGCTATTTCTGTATGTTTGTGGCAGGAATTTACTTATCATGAAGGTCAAGAGATAAAATTGTGGTATATAGTTTAAGGGTGGGCCACCTTAGGATAATGGGCTTCCCCTTAGGATAATCGACATTTCATCTTTAAATTTTTTTCTGTAATATTCAGCCTCTGAAATTCCATTTCATAAGGTAATGAAGGAAACCTTTCTTTTCTTCCCCTCAGCCCATGAGTACGTTTTCATAAAATTTGCCAATTGAACCAATGTAATTATTAAAGTTAAACCTTCTGCTCATCACGCTTTCAACATTTAAAGATCTCCAAAGAGCTAAAATCTTTTTTATTTTTGGTTTTCCCAGTAATTTATTGAGATATAATTGAGACATAACTTGGCACTTCCTAATGTTATGAGTTAAGCAATTCTCTCCCAGAATTACTTACATATTTTTGCATTACTTTAAAAAAAATAGATTTTTCAGAGCACCTGGGTGGCTCAGTCGGTTAAGCATCTGACTTCAGCTCAGGTCATGATCTCGCGGTTTGTGAGTTTGAGCCCCATGGTGGGCTGACAGCTCAGAGCCTGGAGCCTGCTTTGGATTCTGTGTCTCCCTTGCTCTCTGCCCCTCCCCCGCTCTCACTCTGTCTTTCTGTCTCTGTCTCAAAAATAAATAAACATTTAAAAAAAAATTTTCCATCAGCCTCGTTGCTCCTGATTCATTTTCAAGTACATTTAGACTTATTTGGAATATTTTATCAGGAAAAATAGTCCTCTTCAATATTTGATGGCCTTAGGAAATAAAGTGTTAGTTTAGAAGAGCAGAGCTGTGTAGATTGAGCTCCTGGGTATGCAAAAGCAGTCCAAAGATCACAGCCCTGGAACAGGAAAGGGGGTGGCGGTGGGGAGGCTATAGGTGAAAGTGAAGTGTGCAAAATGAGACATCTTGGACTGAGTAGAGATATTAAGCTGAAAGAGGCAAAGTTTGTAAGCAGAAAAAAGAGAATAAAAGTAAATAGGTGGGGTGTTGGGACTCAAACCATAGGTACTCATTAAATTTTACATCCTTTCTCTATATAGTTTTCTGCTTGTGGGAGTACACAAACACACCCAGGTATGTAATGGAATAAAAGGTCATAATAGTTAGGGCTTGAAGTAATTGTGTGCCAAAAACTTTAAATGAATTACCATGCCATATTGAATGTTAAAATACTCATGTGATGAATCATCACATAACCATATAATGAAAAGAGGTCGTCTTCTTCAAATATGTTTTTCAAATATGTTAATTAAAATAGTTCTGCGTTTACTTATTTTTAGCAAAATAGCAAATACTGGGAAGCAAGTACAAGGCAAAGAGTACCTTCTATCACTGCATGAACTTCTGGCCAACCTGAGACACCAAGTCTGGAATGAAGTAAGTGCAACAATCAAGTCTGACTATTGGTCATCTTGAGCCAGACCAGAACAGACCAACTAATCCAATCCTCCAGAAAACAGAATCAAGTGGAAGTCTGTGGGCATTTATTGACAACGGAAGGTTAAGAAGGAGTATAAGCTGTGGAGTTAGATCTAGATTTAAACTCTAGACTTACAGGATGTAAGTAGCCACTTAAAAGCTTCTGTAACCATAGGAGGTATCTTCACCTCTGTGAAGCCTTCTTCTTATGCAGAATACAGGTTTTAATGCCTAATTTGGTTGCTGTGAGGTTTAAATGAATTAACGCACATAAGGTTTCCAACACAGCAGTTGAGACATACTGGGCCCTCAATAAATGGTACCTTAAAAAAAAATGTTCCCTTTACATAATAGTTCCTTCTGCCCACCAGAGCATAGAATGGGAGCTTGGACCTCTCCCTACTCTGTTCATGAGCCATAGTCCCCACTGTATCTGAGGCAGTTGGCCATTATTAGTCAAAAAGGGACAAACAATATGTCTCTCTAGTCAAACTAGCTAAGAATTGTGCCTGACCCTCCTCTCCCTTCAAGGAACCCAGGTACCTCAGACAATTCGAGAGTGTGAAAGGAGATAATAACTACCATGACATGAAAAAGCATTACTGTGAAAGCTCATTTTTCTGGTTGTATTTCCTTTGAGTGTGTTCAGAGCCTTGGTTACATGGACCCAGCCAGAGTCTGATACCTCCTAATTGGTTTTCTTTGCCTGCTTGAAAGCTTCCATATATCTTCTTGTCACTCAACAGGTGGCAATTCTTATCTTGGTTCAGGCTTAAATTGGGTGTAAGAGAACTGTAGATGTAAGAGGAGAATTAAGGGATCACCCACCTCATAGGTCGCATAGGTTTCACATAGGGTATAGTGAAAAAAGCAACTGGACTTGTGGCTGAAGCCTGGCTTCTTGACTTCTTGCTAGTTTTGGTGAAGTCTCAATATCTCTCAGCTACAAAATGATAACTCTTACTCGGTAGGATTTTTGTGCATATGGTAGTGGTGAAATTGCTTTATAAATTGTATAGAAGCATATAAAAAAATAGTTTCTATTCCAGTAGAATTGAATTTGATGTGTAAAATAAATACGAGCTGTATGGAATTTCAATATCAATAAAATTATCTCCACTTATGAATTACAATATTGCTTTAAAACAAAGGACTTTTTTCTAATCCTGTGTGTCTGTGAAATGTATTTCATAGATAGCATATATTATAAATGATCAGTAATTTTGTTATCTGATTTTAAATTAACATCATGATACTAGTTGCAACCATCCTATAAACATGTGAATTATTCTCCTTACCATTTGTAGTATTACTTAAGTATCCAGCAAGGGTATAATTGGAAATATCAAGTGCACAAATCCATTTTTAATTTAGGAAACCCAACAACTCATATATGAAAGTATTTAGCTGTATCTCTACTAACATGAGAGAAATGGGGCTGGTTTTATAAAACCTATGACTTAGATATTTCGCTCTTACAATATAAGAAAATAAAACAATTGAAACTGATCTGACCTTTGTGGGCTTTTTTTTATAATATCTTTTTTTATTTTTATTTTTTACTTATCTATATTTCCTGATAGGCAGAGATAATGACATAGTGGCCTATTAAGGGCAGAGAAGTGTCTATAAAAACCCACACGAGGTGGTTTCCATTGTTTCCTGCATGCTTACTTGCAGTCAGTTATTCCAGGAATTACCTTTGTTTGCAGAAAAGAAAACCAAGTAGAAGATCATGGCAAGTTCTGACTGGGGATATGATGACCACAATGGTAAGAGTTCTTCTGTTCATGTAAAACAAAATACTAGCTCATTGCCTTTTCCAGTAAAAGAGATATTGTGCATTTTTTTAAAAAGTAAATAAATATAAATATAAATAAAATAGCTGTACAGTCCTAGGTTAACAGTTTGAATTGCCTGACTTGAATAATTATAAAAATTTTGTATGTACCCTTAACAGTTTTCCTTTGGGACATGGTTGTCTACAAAATGTGTTCTCTGTCTCTTCCTCTTTCTCAATCTCTCTCTCTCTCACCTGTATTTTAGAAATCTAGTGCTAATTGTAAAATATTTATTGTGGTGTTGACAAATACACTATTTCATAGGATAGTATAGAAAAGGAGCATTCTTAAATGTTGAATTTTCATTAAGTTAGACATAATATCATTTAAGATACCAGAATTAATCCTAGTCTAATAAGCAGAGAACTAGTTATCCTCCTAAAACTTGGAATCAGACATGTGATGATTGTATGCATGTGTTTACCTTGCTAGGTCCTGAACAATGGGGCAAGCTGTACCCCATTGCAAACGGAAATAACCAATCTCCCATTGACATTAAAACCAGTGAAACCAAACGTGACACCTCTCTTAAACCTATCAGTGTCTCCTACAATCCAGCCACAGCCAAAGAAATTATCAACGTGGGACATTCTTTCCATGTAAGCTTTGAGGACAATGATAACCGATCAGGTGAGCCAAAAGATCCTTCTGGTTATGTTTTCTTTAACTCTTCTGGGACAAATTAAACAATAGGACTTTAAGAAACACAAACACCATCCTCGGTCTTTTGTGCATGTGTGTAGTACACATAACTTGGCTGCGATCTGGTGAAGCATCTTGGACTTCTGGAAAACTCCCAAGTGGTAAAGCCCTTCTCTTCCATGACACCAGCCCATCTCTTCTGGTCTCTAGAATCTTTGCACTCACTTCACACTCTCTAAATAAACAGTATTTTTTCCCAAGAAGGTTTAATGAACCATCATAATGAATATAGAATATAGAACATGAAACTGAAAAGGCAAATATTCTCTAATTGGAATGAGAATGGAGGAGCACAGTAGGAAAGAGAAACGGAGTGAAGAATGTATTTATTTTTTACCGCCAGAAAAATAGCTCTGTTGTTGTGAAGTTCTCGGGTACCAGTAAGAATGTAAGTCTTACATAAATCTTGCAAGATTTATTCAGTGCTTAAATGCACTGGTCTATCTCCCCACCCCCCCCCACCCCCGCCCTCCACTGCTATACTGTAGTCACTGAATTATCTTCATACCCCAGAATCTGGCACATTTCCTGCTACATGGTAAGATTCTCATAAATGTTTCTTGAATAACTATCAAATGGTAATTTCATAAGACAACTCTACTGACAAAAAGCAAGACTTGTTTTAGCACTTTCCTGCAAGGTTCTGACCCTAAATTTTAAGCACCTTGGGGCTATGTCCATTGTTATATTATATAAGATCTGGTGTTATGTGTGTTTAATTAGCCATATGATTGTGTAGACTCTCTAAAAACGACATAGTCATTCAATGTTAAAATTTTTAAAGTGACCTCACTGACCCCCTAGCACTTTCTTTCGGTCCCTGGACAGGCATTCTCAAACAAAGCTGTCAAGATACACTGTTGTGTTTTGACTAGTAAAAAGTATGTGATGAGTAATTTGTTACTCAAAATAAATTACTAAAGATCTTAATGCATACTTCCTATTTAGTCTTTGTTGAAAGAATGAATGAATAAACTTGCAAATTATAGCAGATTCGAGGAAATCCTTACAATTCACCCACCTTCCAATATACTTTCTTGGCAGCAGAAAAAGGTAAAATTACAGCTCACGGGCTGAGAATTGTATATAACTCAATGCAATGGTCAGGGATGCACCATACATATGAATGCCATCATCGTGGATGTGGGAAAAAATCCAACAAGAAAAAGCCTTTGGCACCAGCGTTTGTTTTTAGTTCTACTTAATCCATTTTCGTGTTGGATTATGTTAAATGCAAAGATAAGCAGGAGCTTATGATCATAAAACTAACAGTAGTTCCCTTTTTCTTCTAGTGCTGAGAGGTGGTCCTCTTTCTGAAAGCTACAGGCTCAGTCAGTTCCATTTTCACTGGGGCCGCACAAATGACTATGGTTCTGAACACACAGTGGATGGAGTCAAATATTCTGGAGAGGTAATGTAACTTAGTAACTGAGACATAATTACACTGAGAATTACTCTCAGAAGCAGCTGCTTTACTACATAAGACACCATTATAATAGCTCCAAAGGAATGAGCATTCTGGTCTCTATAGGAGAACTCCCAAGCCCCTTTAAAATCAAACAGGCACGTACTGAGTTTGGCAATAGAAGGAAATTTTGCATGTGAAAAAGGTAGCTGAACTTGGAGTTGAGCTCCTGAGCCCAAGAAGCATCTTTCTCTTCAGAATGCCTTAAAAACTGTTACCTTGACAACAGCATCAAGAGGAGACACTGCTCTCCTTTAAAGCTCTGACTCTAAGCTGACCACACCATTTGCTTCTAATTCAAATGTTCAATTTGGACACACCAGTGGCATAGGTGTAGCCAGGCTGGAACACTTCAATAAGACTCTACTAAGAGTGCAAGTTTAACCATAGGAATGTATACAAAGAATAACATACGCCTAAGTGAGGGCCTGAGGGCTCCTGCTGTAGGCCACCACCCTCCACCCTCTTGACTTGCCCTCACACGGAAGTCTGTGATCCATTTCAAGACTCTTTGTCTGTATATACATAGAAAAATCAAGAATATTTGCATCAAACTGTCAACAGAGCATCTGGGAGATTGAAAAAGAAGAACTTCTGTTCTTTATATGTATTAATATAATACAAAATATTATATATATATATACTCCCATATATACAGGTTGACTTTTTATTTTACTTTTACAAAATGAATTTGTAATACAAATAGTTTTGCAATTTTTTCTACTTACCAATTTATCATAATCATTTTTTTCCAAGTCAGTAGAGTTAATTCTACCTCATTCTTTTAATGTTTGTATAGTATTTCATTGTATAAATATATCAGAATTTATGTAACTGCCTCCCCCCCGCCCCGCCCCGATGGACAATTGCAATGCCGTTTGCTTTTTGTTCCATTGGTTTTTGACTTTTACCAAAATATGCTGCAACAAATACATATACCTTATACCCCAGTGAAAACACATCAGTGGGGCAGATTTTTTTTATAGGAGGGATTACTAGGTTACAGGGTATGTGCTCTTATTATTTTGATAGAAGTTTTGGGAATTATATACACATATAACTGGCTTTACATTACATTGTAAAGCTTGGCTAATAACTTTTAATACTACAGAAACCTATTAAATGTTTCTTCCCATTTCTCCCTCAAAAAAAAGTAGACTAAAATTAAATGGACTCAGAGCCTAAATTAATACTATCTTTTTAGATGGGTATCTGGCTGTATCTAAGAAATCGAAATCAGTGATTCTCTCATCTAATTTAAGAAAAATAAAAATAATCCAGGCTAGAGATGAGAGGCACTTAGCCACAAAATTCCACATGTGATTGAGGAAAGGAGGGAGGGAGGGAGAGCAGGAGTTGGAGGGGAGAGAGGAGGAGGGGAGAGAGGAGGAGGGGAGAGAGAAGCAAGACCCAGAGAGCAAGAGAAAGAGACAGAAATTAAATAGGTGGTTGGGGCGCCTGGGTGGCGCAGTCGGTTAAGCGTCCGACTTCAGCCAGGTCACGATCTCGCGGTCCGTGAGTTCGAGCCCCGCGTCGGGCTCTGGGCTGATGGCTCAGAGCCTGGAGCCTGTTTCTGATTCTGTGTCTCCCTCTCTCTCTGCCCCTCCCCCGTTCATGCTCTGTCTCTCTCTGTCCCAAAAATAAATAAACGTTGAAAAAAACAAAAAGTTAAAAAAAAAAAAAATTAAATAGGTGGTATGGAGAGAACTAGTTAATTGAAAGTGATGATTGACCAGATGATCACTTTATGTTAGGAGGTCATAAAAGAATTCTTTCAGTAGTGGCATTTGTGTTCAGCCCTAATTCAAGACAAAAGGCTGCCATTGACAGATTATGGGGAAGGACATTCCAGACAAAATCAGCAGCTAATGCAAAGCTGTGAACCAAGTGAAGAGGTATTATCTATGAGATGTGCTTGCTGAAAGAGGGCTATTGATGGGGGTGGGGAGCAAGAAATTAATGATAACTGTGGTACTTTTTGATTGAGCAATTAGGTAGATGATGGTACCCTTTTCCAAAGTTGGGAAAATGAAACAGTTTTGGCAAGGAAAAAATCAAGAGTTATACTCTGGCCATGTTAAGTTTGAGATATTATTAGACATCAATGTGGAAATATCAAGAAGATATCAAGGTGACATACATACATATTGGATATTCAGATCTAGAGTTCCACAGAGAGGTTAGGCTAGAGATAATGATATGAGAGGAGCCTACATATGCTCAAGAGAACGTGTTCTTGGCCAAGACTCCTAGATTGTCCAGGAACCCCTACCCATAAAATTACTAAAAAGTATCTCACATGACAGAAATTATTTCAACTGTGTTTAAAACTAATCAGTTCAAATTCCTGATCTTTTTATACCAAAGCAATTTTTTAAAATAAATAATATTGAATAATTATAATACTAGGGGAAAAGAAATTTACTCACTATTTCCCTGGAAATTGCAAATTGCACACTCTATTCAATGTACATAACCCTTCTTAAGAGTGAGAATATAGCCCTTTTATCCACTGGATAAAGGTTCACATAAATGTTATTTAAGCCAACAGTACATCTTCATATATTAACAAGTTAATTTATAACTTTTTGTCTTCACAGAAGTATAAATAACTAATTGACCACATTATCATTTTTAGCTTCACATAGTTCACTGGAATTCTGCAAAATACTCCAGCTTTGCTGAAGCTGCCTCACAGGCTGATGGTTTGGCAATTATTGGTGTTTTGATGAAGGTGAGTTACAGAGCTCAGTTAACACAATTTCTTACATCAAAAAAGTATAAAATAAGGCAAAAGGATATCTGAGTCTTTCTTTTTAAAATTTCCCATTCTACTAATGGCTACAGGTGAACAAACAGTTCTCGAATATTTTGTTGCTTTGTTTTCTCTTGGTTTTTTCCCTTTTTTGAGAGAATTAAGTTTCAGGTAGGGCTAACATGGGAAGATATTGGAGGAGGGTGGAATTTCTATTTTCCAGCTTTTCTAAACTTCTTTTCCTCTAAACTTCTACTTCATAGGTTCAGGAATTTATCAATTTAATGTATCATCAGAAAAAAAAATACTAAGAGGATTATTGTCCCATAAAGAAAGTTCAGTTAATATTTAAAATGTCAGATGTTGGGACACCTGGGTGGCTCAGTTAAGCATCTGACTATTGATTTCAGCTCAGGTCATGATCTCAGAGTTTGTGAGATCAGCAGCACCCCCCCCCCCACTGCCCCCATTGGGCTCTGCTCTAACAGGACAGAGCCTGCTTGGGATTCTCTCCCCCCTGCTCCTCCTCCACTTGCTCACTCTCTCTCAAAATAAATAAAGTTAATAAAATAAAATAAAATAAAATAAAATAAAATAAAATAAAATAAAATAAAATAAAATAAAATAAAATGGCATATGTTGCTGAAATCCTCTATAGGAGAGTCCCTGAAAAGTCCTATAGGGAAATTATTATTAAATTGGATATACTAGGATCTTTTGGGTTCTGCTCACCAAATTCCAATGTGACAGGTTCCCCCCACACCTCTAACAAGCAATTCTTGGGCACCAGCAGGGTGTCCAGGAATTCAATTCTAACACTATCTACCCAGAGATAGCATCAGGTTCCACAGGTTAAGGGTTCAGACTTGCAAGATTACAAGTCCCCCTGCCCCACTTCAAATGTCAGTCCTCAAGTCCAGATGGTTGTTACCTGGGCTTCTGACTGACTGGTTATAAATCAGAGATTCCCATGACCTCTTCCTTGGGTTCAAAGAGACTTGCTTAATTTGCTAGCATAGCTCACAGAACTCAGAGCATATTTTACTTAGTAGATTACTGGTTAATTATACAAGGGTATAACCCAGGACTAGCCAGATAGAAAAGATGCATAGGGCTAGGTATGGGGAAAGGCAAAGAGCTTCCGTGCACTGCCCAGGCACACTGATTTACCTGTATCTCCTTTAATTCACCAATCTGGAAACTCTCTGAACCCAGTCCTTTTGGGTTTTTATAAGAGCTTCATTATTTAGGCACAATTGATTAAATCATTGGCCATTGCCAATTGATTCAAGCTCTAGCCCTGTCCCCTCTCCTGTCCCTAGAGGTCTGAGGGTAGAATTGAAAGGTCCAACCCTCTAATCCCCTGTTTGTTTCTCCTGGCAACCAGCCCTCACCTTCAGATTCAGTCTAGAAGTCCCCTAATTAACATAACAGAAGACACCTTTATCACTGTCATCACTTAGCAAATTCCAAGGATTTTAGGAGCTCTGTGTTGTAAACATATGTCTTATTATAAACATCACAGGTAGCTAACTTTTGGGATTATAGCAATTCTAGTTAACCTTTCTTGAGCACTTACAACATGCCACGCATTGTACTCATTATAACTAATAAAACAAGCCAAAAGTAAGAGGCTGTGTTTTGTATCACAGTTTTGCTAAATTCCTGGATTTTGTCTTGTATATCCCTGAACATCTTGTCCATATTAAATTAAAACCAAGGTTTTGTTTTCCACTTCATCTGTGGTGTGAAAAAATGACATACACAGAGCCATTTACCATGGAGATATAGTGGCCATTTCAGAGCTGCCTTGCACATCCTGCTTTTTGAACCTTAGAACTGGGCCAAACCACCAATATTCCAAGAAATCAACAAGAACAAGAATATCCTATTTGAGAGAACTAACAAAAGTGAACTTTTACGTAGTGACCACTTCACCTGACAAATCTGTAATGTACAAATCTCACCCTGCTTGTCAGCACCAATGAACTCTTCTCAAAAACTACTTACATGGGGGCGCCTGGGTGGCTCAGTTGGTTAAGCGTCTGACTCTTGGTTTTGGCTCAGGTCATGATCTCAAAGTTTGTGAGTTTGAACCCTCAGCTGGGCTCTGTGCTGACAGCATGGACTCTCTCTCTGCCCCTTCCACTCTCTCTCTCTCTCTCTCTCAAAATAAAAAAATAAAAAAATGTAAAGAAACAAAAAAACAAAAAACAAACAAACTACTGACATGATCATCCTCCTCTTCCATAAATGAGTCTATGTCCTGTAATTAGAACGCTATTTGGGTTTCTACCTCAATCTGTGTGCCCTGAATTGTAATTCTTTGATCTCAAGTAAACACTTTACCTCTTGAGCTGGTTTCTTGTTTTTAGGTTGATGGTGGTTACACATTATGAACAACTTACAGAGCACAAGGGCCCGCAAGGATATACAACCAACAAAATTCCCTCTCCTAAAGCAGAGAGAAAATATCTTACCTTTCTTCAGTTACGGTTTCCAATTGAAAAAAAAATAGCCAAACATAGGTTCACTTAATAATACTTTCTAACACACATTTTTTTTTTTAAATCTCCAGGTTGATAAGGCCAACTCACGACTGCAGAAAGTACTTGATGCCCTAAACGCAGTTAAAACCAAGGTAAATAGACTAAACACATTAGTTTAAATCAGAGAACAAGAGGGGCCCCTGGATGCCTCAGTCAGTTAAGCCACTGACTCTTCATTTCAGCTCAGGTTATGATCTCACAATTCCTGGGGGATCAAGCCCCGCATTGGGCTCCATGCTGAGAGCGCAGAGCCTCCGTGGGATTCTCTCTCTGCTCTTCCCCTGCTTAAGCACACCTGTGCATGTACACACTTTCTCTTTCTCTTTCTCTCTCTCTCAAAAAAAAAAAAAAAAACTTTAAAAGATAAATAAATAAATGAAAACATTTAAATCTGAGAACAAGAATCCACAGAACTACTGAAATCATTTACATATTTGAAGTGGGGAATAAGAAGCCTAAAGCAAAAGTTACCACTCTGAAAATCAAGGTACTACTTGGATATTGCTTGCTTCTGAGGTCTCTGACTCAGGTATTTGTTTTGTTTTTTTCTTTTTCACAATTATTATCTATTTCAGCAGGATGAAGCCTATAGAAGAAGTTTCATAGCCATTCAAATTTTCTTTAAAAACTATATCCAACTAAAATGAGATTTTTTTTCCCATTTCATGAAGAAAAATGTCTCTATTTCTTTAGCAGTACAAAAATGCAGGAGTTAGGGGTATTTTTTTGAGATACCATTAACAAGCCATTAATAAACAACCAAAACAGAAATAGGAATAAATAGAAAAGGCTAAAACATAACTAGTTTGCACATCAATAAATAGTTTTGTCACTGGAACAGTTTCTGGCATCATTCCTAAAGAAACAGTAAATGTTTGGGGCACCTGGGTGGCTCAGTCAGTTAAGCATCTGACCTTGGCTCAGGTCATGATCTCACAGTTTGTGGGTTCGAGCCCCATGTCAGGCTCTGTGCTGACAGCTCAGAGCCTAGACCCTGCTTCTGGCCCCTCCCCAACCCCTGCTCACACTCTGTCTCCCTCTCTCTCTCTCTCTCTCTCTACCTCTCTCTCAAAAATAAATAAACAAAATAAATTTTTTTAAAGAAACAATAAATGTTTTATTCTGGAAGTGAAAGATCTTCTAGAGAATATAGATTATTTTAAAACTTCTTAACATTTGTTTATGTTCAGCCAAATGAGGAAAGAAGATTGCTTGGCCAAAATGCCAGTGTAGCAATTTTTCAGTCTTCTATTACTTTTATTGTTTATATCTACAAACACACCAGTGTATACTATATAGTAGGAAAATTAAATTTTCAGCTAAAATATCAAGACAATATATATACCAAAATTATATAACATAGATACCATATATGTATATGCTGTAAGTATTTTAAATCATGGTATAATGATACATTTCTTTTCCTTCCAGGGCAAACGAGCCCCATTCACAAATTTTGACCCCTCTACTCTCCTTCCTTCATCCCTGGATTACTGGACCTACTTTGGCTCTCTGACTCATCCTCCTCTTCATGAGAGTGTCATCTGGATCATCTGTAAGGAGAGCATTGGTATCAGCCCAGAACAGGTAGAGTATAAAGGGTGAAAGAGTGGGACTTAGGAGTGCAAAGCAGGAATATCACTTCAATTCATAGTAAGGTGGACATTATGATTTCAAATAGATTTTTGAGGAGTTTGTTTTCCACTCCCAGTGAAAAAGATTCATTTCTGACTTAGATCTATTGAATAATTAAACAGAAATGTGTGTTATAATACTGTTTTCTCCTTTATACAGAAAAAAAAAATATGAGATTCTGAACTCCTACTATCTTTTTGACCTTATTAAAAAAAAAATCCAACCTTGACAAGTGTCTTCCTAAGAGTTTGAGAAACAAAGAAAAGATTGTCCCTGGAAATTCTACCAAGACTTTGAGGAAGTATGGCTCACAATAGACATACCTTGAGAGTTGACAAAGGTTTTTTGTTCTTTTTTGAAGGTTTTAATTATTAACTATCCAAAAAAATATCTCTTTAATTATTGTTTATAATTATGATAATAATAACTACCACTGATTGAGCAAGTACTTTCATTAGGTGCCTTATACATGTTTTGTCAGCCAATTCTCAGAACAAACCTATAGGACAGGCAAGTATGTAGCCTACTGATAACATATGCTACATGCCAAGCAACATTCTAAGAACTTTATGTGTATTAACCCATTTAATCTTCACAAAAACCCATTGTAAATAGCTGATAGTGTTCAATATTTTTCCTATCAGCTATTTAAGGGGCCTGCTCCATACTACATTATCTGTATAAAGTTTTGCCTCTATTAAATCTGGAGCGATAAAATGGTGAGGACACACCAATTTCTTTTTCAGTTGCAATCATTATTTCCTTTTTTGCAATTTTCTTTTAATTGTGAAGTCAGTGACTTTTTTTTCATGCCTCAATAGTTTTATAGGCCAGTTGATGTTTTTGTGGAACTCTTAAAAGTCTGTCTACATTAAATGACAGGGTTTTTTGTGGGGTTTTTTTGTTGTTGTTGTTGTTTGTTTTGTTTTTGTAAGGTGATGTTTTAAGAAAAAGGTAACAATATATTTTGGGGTGGGAAAGTGATTATTCTGAGAACTCATAAATTATCACATTGTGCCTTAACAAAGAAGCCTTCAGCCATAGCTGAAGTCACTTACTCTAAATAGGCTAGATTTTTAGCAGAATCGGACACACAAGCTGAAAACAAACTGATGGCTGTCAGAGGGGAAAGGGTGGGAGATGGGCATAACAGGTGAAGGGGAGGGGAAGGTACAGATTTGGAGTGAATAAGTCACAGGGGTAAAAGGCACAACACAGTGAATATAGTCAACGTGATTGTAATTTTACTATACAGAAACTGAGGCCAAAAGCAGAAAGTCACTGACCCAATTAGCCCAGTTGACACTCTGAGAAAGTTGGCATTCTAATCCAGTCAATCCTTGATCATTTAAACCAAATACCTAGTTCAAAGAAATGTGAAGGAATTTTTGCCTTCCACCCTTCCAATTGGTGAAGTCATTGCAATCAATAACTTAGTTTTTTATATATCAGTGCATTGATTATACTGGAAATAAAGTGCTTTGTGTAACTTTAATAGCCTTTGATTCCTTAAATATTTTATTCTTCCTCCCAGCTGGCACAGTTCCGAAGTCTTCTATCAAATGTTGAAGGTGACAAAGCTGTCCCCATTCAGCACAACAACCGACCACCTCAGCCTCTGAAGGGCAGAATAGTGAAAGCTTCATTCTGACGGGAACAGGAAGGAACTTATCCTCCTTCCAGAAACACTGCCCTGCTTCTGACACAAACCAGTAAAACAAATTTTGAAGAAATAAAATTATTTCAATACTAGCAAGACAGCATAGCTGCAAATTTAATCTGTAGAACTGAAAAGTTTTAATTTTTGTTCTTAATGCTTAACTCAAATAATCATCTATAAGCTTGTTAAACTTGTGTGTAAATTCAAGTTTATTTTGTGGAATTATTTATAATTACAATTAAGGTATATTGGATAATTTCTTAGTGACTTGTATCTCTTTCCACTTTATTCAGTTTAGTTGAACCAATAAAATAATTTTATCCCTTTCTTATCTGTTATGTGCTCTGTTTTTTTAATATTAATTTTCTACCCCATTTACATCCAAAAATCTTAAGTGCCTTATTTGCAATATTATTTTACTTCAAATGTGATAACCTAAGAGCAGCTTGAGATGAAATATTGAGAAATGTATTTTCTTACTCTTAAAGGCAAATATATAGCTAAGATGACAACTGTACTTAATATCGTTATACCAGCCCAACATTTGTGTTGTCTGTGATTAAAATGGTGTCTTTTATACAGGAAGATGTTGCTTCTGGATATTGCTTCCACTTTTGCTCCTCCCATTAGTAAAGCCAGTGGTTTCTCCCCTTCCCCCCATTATTATAACTGATTAGCTTGAATAGAGAATCTATAATTCAAAATTTGAAGAAAATTCACCAGTGAATGGTTTATAAAAATGATGGAGTCATTTCGACCTAAAATCATATAAAAACATCACGTAATTTTTAAGTCAGATATGTCCCTAAACTAAAGCCAGTTCTTTCTGAAGCCATATCTACATCCAGAATTCAAATCTTGTGTCTAGTGTATAGTCTTGTAATTGACTTTCATTTCCTTCTCTGTGATTTAATACAAGTAACTGTATTAGATACCAAAGCCCATACCCATTCCAATGTCCTAGAGCTGTCTAATGTTACAGAATCAGTAAAAACTTCTAAATAAATATAAACATAGTTTAAAAAGACAGATCAAGCAGATTCTTCAATGCTCTGAGAGAGTCTTTGTATAAAGATTGTGTTTACTTTGTACCTAAAAACCGCACTAAGGGACTTCTTTTGAAATTTTTGATCTGGGGCCCAGAATTTAAAGAATCCTTCTTATTAAAATCTAATAGGTACAAATAATACTTTAGCTCTGCTCACATGAGCATTATATAAACAGAAATACTTTCTTTGCAAAAGTAATGTGTGTATATTACTGTATATTTGCCAGATACCGAGAAAGCCTGAAGCAGTTACACTTGTCCTATGATCCTCTTATTTTACATGAGTCACATTGATAGGATTTCAATTCTAAAGTTATCAAAGGTCATCATGAAAGCCAAAGAAAGAGGGGTATGAGTTTAATTTGAGAAATATATTTGCATGAGGTATGAAAGGCATAAAAATTTTTGCAGAAAGATATCTGCAAAATATATCTACTCAGGACCCACAGTGTTTGAAAATATTTCCCAAAAAGAAATTGAGCAATTTAAAAAAAAACAAATTTCACAAAAAGGATCTGAAAAATATTTAACTTGATGACCCATATATTTTTTAAGAAGGTTGAAATGTATTCTTGAATTTAAATATAAATCTGTAAGTCTTGTTATGAAGAGGGCAAAGAGATGACACAAGATATATGATGGTCATCAAACTTCATCCCTAAGCTGAATGCCAACTGGGGAGCATGTTTCCCCTTACTGCTTCTGCCAGAATTTCACTTATTTGGCAGAACTCACGAGGTGCATTATGGGGGCTTTCCACATTTCTCTGAAGTAGCCGATAAAAGCAGCTGTTGAGAGAAGATATGTGGACAAGGCATTGGATGATCTAAGAAGGCAACTCATATGTTTCTTTGACTCACCCTCCCACTGTGTGCCCTCTTCCCTTGCCAATGTAGGTAAATGATTTGAACATCCTGCAAGTATTTTCTGATTTTTCCATGAGGTTTGGCAGCTGACCTTCCTCCAGTAATCCAGAATGACAGTGCCACCTGATGGGCCCAGCTCAAGAGTAGAAAGGTGCTTCTATACCCTACTCTTTCCTGTCTTGTCCAGCCCCACAGTCCCACCCTTGCTTTCAGAAACACCATGCTGAATATTTACGGTATCCTTTGCTAATTTGTGAGTCCAAGATATTTTCTAAATTGTTCATTTTTGTAAGTTTTAGATAACTCAAAGAACGTTAAATTCATCAAAGACAGAATTAGGGGAAAAAAAAGAAAGGGAGATAAATATCTTCTTTAAATTTATTTTTTACATGACTCAAAAGAGGACATTTCTATTTCTTATAACTCTGGTTACTATCAGTGGTTCTGTGTGGATTCCTGTGAGTATGTAAGTTAAGCAATGAAACTTCTTTCTACTTCCCCTGAAAATGTAAATAGATATAATCAAAATTTTGCATGGAATTTTAGAGTACTTAGAAACTCAACCCTTTGTTCCCTTCCCCATCACAAAGTCAATCCTGGACTGCAAATAGGATTCTGGCTCTAAACTACAAAAAAAGTTGAACTACAATGGGACTAACTCCAGGTTTCTCGATCTTGTTTCCTAATTTAACATTTATTTTTGCTTTTCTACATCTTTCTTTAGAGCAGGTTTCTAGATGGAATCATGTATATTTCTCATATAGTTCATAAATTATCTTCTTGTTGTTTTCTCCTTTACAAATATTATTTTGAGTTGGTATAGGGCTCCATTGCAGAAGAGATATAAAACAATAAAAAAGAAAGAGAATTCAAACTTTAGGGAATTGTTTCATTGATTAGCGGGCAAGCTAAAAAAAAAAGTTGCAAATGAGCGTGAAGAGAGCATAGAAAAATTCAATTGAGGAGGATCTCATTAGATCAATAATAACTCAAAATCACTCTGAAAGTCATCAACATACTTTGTATCTAAGACCACGAACGCATAGGGAAATACTTATTTTATGAGCATAATCTTGATGATTATCCATAAATAGCATATGCTTAATTACTCACTGTTCTCTGTGAGCCACTGTTCTAGGATTTCCTTATTACTCTCACTAGATTTGGCTATTTTCAATCTCATCAAGGAAACAGAGACAGAAAGACAGACAGACATAGATATAAATGAATAAATGATTGTATTTATTGCAGGACTGGTCTACTTTGACAAATTAGAAACATAGATATGAATATTTAACCTATTATAAGAACACAGTTTAGGGGCGCCTGGGTGGCGCAGTCGGTTAAGCGTCCGACTTCAGCCAGGTCACGATCTCGCGGTCCGTGAGTTCGAGCCCCGCATCAGGCTCTGGGCTGATGGCTCAGAGCCTGGAGCCTGTTTCCGATTCTGTGTCTCCCTCTCTCTCTGCCCCTCCCCCGTTCATGCTCTGTCTCTCTCTGTCCCAAAAATAAAATAAAATAATAAAAAAAAAAAAAAAAAAAAAAAAAAGAACACAGTTTATTATATGTTCCTAGAATGATATGGACACATTTATAAAGCTAAGGGGAAAATATGTAAAATAAGAAAGATTTTAAAAGAAACATAACATGCTTAAAACAAGTTAGGAGAAAAGGCCTTAGGCATTCTGGCTTACAAATCTAGATTTCAATAGAGAAGTAGCTCATGGGAGTAACTTTGAGTCTTAAGATATGTGTATACTCTCACACAGATGAAACTGGTGGTTGCCAGCAAGGAGAGGGATGGGGGGATGGGCAAAATAGATGAAGGGGATTAAGAGGTAAAAACTTCCAGTTATAAAATAAATAAGTCACAAGGATGTAATGTACAGCATAGAGACCACCGTCAATAATACTGTAATAATGTTGTCTATGACAGATAATAACTAGACCTATCAAGGTGATTATTTTGTAATGTACAAACATACCAAATCACTACATTGTACACCTGAAACTGATACAACATTGTATATCAACTATAATTCAATTAAAAAGTAAAGCAAAGCACAAAAAAGAATAAAGCCCTAAAATAAGAAAAAAAAAGATACGTGCATACTCTCATCTTGTATCTTTACAAGTATCTTTAGTATCTTTATACGAAAAGTGCCCTGGTGGACAAAGAGGTCATGTTTGAAGGTGTTAGAATGCTCAGAGCATAAGTGCACTTACTAGAGGTTTCTCACAATGGCATCTGGGATGCTAATCCCTTTGCTATGAGAAGGTAGAAATAGCAATTATGTCAGAGAGGCATAGTGTTTAAGTGGCCTTATTTTTTCCCCTCAAAGACTAGAGAATATACTTTTCCCAAATAATCAATAAATATTTTAATACCCTTTAGAGGCAGACACATGTTAAGCTATTTGAATATGTTATTTTCCATCATGTTAACTGATGACTAAATTGTCCGCAAACACAAACACGCACAACAGAACCACACCATGCAGAAATAATGTTTAGCTACTTAGGAAAAAAAAAAAAAAGACCCTCTCTCATCCATACACCAAAATAAATCCAAGGTGGTAAATTTTTCAAGGAAATCAATATACAAGAAAAATAGGTAAATATTTAAATATCTGGTTGAAGAACTTTCAAAACACCAAAGGTACAAACCAGGAAATAACAGAATAATTGATTGAGCTAGGAAAAACTTAAATATCTAGGTCAATCAACAATAATAAAAAAAATTAATGAAAATAAAAAATTGCAACTGGAGACATTTTTTTGATGTAAATGACATCAACAGGAACAATGGCCTTGCTATAGAGAAAGCTTTCATAAGTTATTAAAATAAAAATTGACTTCCCAAGAGAAAATAGTAAGAAGATACAAATAAGCAATCAGTAAAGAAGTAAATACATGAAAACTGCTCAATCTTAATCTTTTTTAAGATTATTTATTTATTTTGAGAGGTGGGGAGGGCAGAGAGAGAAAGGGAGAGATAGAATCCCAAGCAGTCCCCATGCTGTCAGCACAGAGCCTGACATGGGGCTCAAGTCAGGGACCATGAGATCATAACCTGA